ACAGGCAAAAAAAAGAAACCCTTATCCCAATCACGTGGGTCCCACCATGTTTATTTGGATGAAACTTCTAGCGAACTGCTCAATGACACATTTGGGACATGGGTGCGAAATAAGCAGTAAGTTGGGACTTAATATTTTTTCGCTTGAAGGCACTGGATGTGAAGATTTCATAGCCTACAGCTGACAGCTGGCAAGTTTTAAGAATGTAATATTTTGGGAAAGACAGTTAACATAAGGCTGGATAATTAGTATTGTTGTATGTTTTTCTTACAGTTTTGTATCAGGCAGTTTTGATGTCTTTAAATGTTAGCCAGCTCACACTGTGTGATAAAGACTGAGAGTAAATGGTTTGGTTGGCATGTTTTGTGATTTAACAAAAGACAAAGAAGCAAAAGAACAAATACCTGTACTGAAACTAAGTTTTCAATCTCCGCGAAAGTAAAATCACAAGTGCATTTTTGTGTTGGTGCCACAGTTTAATCAAATGTAAAATTTCATATTGAATTATGATCATTAATCTGCACCTCTGTTTCTTTTTTTGACAAGGCATTGTAAAGACGAGTGGCCAACGTTGCCAAGTGAACAGTAATGTCAAGTTGTGTATTTTTGGTGGGGGGTTTATGTTTATCAGATGAAAGGCAAAAAATGTAGGAGAGGAAAAAATGTGGAGACAATAATTTCTTTATTGTTTTATGCCTTCCAGTTACGTTACGTTATTTGATTCATGATTAAAGAAAAATATCTCCTTCATCCAGAAGATGTCACTGTTGCTTTGGTTGTTTTACCTTGTGCACCTATTCATCTTTAAGTAAAGCTAAATGCTTTTGGGATGACTTGTTTTTAGTAGAAGTGAATCTGTTGGAAATAAATTAACACCTGCATTTAATGAAAGCGGTCAGAACAGCAGTAAGAATATGTCTACTGACTGAGAAGTACAAATTACAAAAAGAAAAAGAAATACAAAAAGATTTCAGGAAAGCACAAACACACTTTCATAAATCTGGAATTGGAGGCAGTGCACATTGATAGAGAGAAAGGGAACAACTCCATGAAGACCAATAAACCACAGTTGATTCCTGTTAGAAGCCTTACTAGAAATTAGGTATATAACCTTAACTTTACTGTATTAAAGTTAGAAAAATCACTTAAAAGTGGTCAAATGTGTTATATTGTTGAATATAATTAAAGACAAAACTGCCTTCATCACAGCTTTCCCTAAATTAATCTTTATTGATTTAATCAGAAAAAGCTTTGGTAGCTCATTCTCAGAACAGCAGCCTCAGATTTCTTCTTAGACAGATTTGCAGTACAGAGAAAAAAAACAATAAAGGGGAAAATGGGACGGGTACATTTCAAGTTTGTTATTTAAGTTATTAGGCTTAGCAAAACATCTACGTCCGTTTGAAACGATTATCAACATTAACAGACTGAACTGGACTTAATAACAGGAGTCCATATAATTTTAGTAAATTATTCTGGTGAGTATCAGCTGCGCTGGGTATGTAAATCGGGCCGTAAATCAGCTGCGGTGCTGATCCGACGCCACTCTGCTAAAAATCCGGACAAATGTCACTTGATCAAGGAGCAGATCTGCATCAGATGAGATCAGCTGACTACGTGTGCGTGCGCTGTGCATATAAAGAAAGTGGTGCGCAAAAGCAGGGTAGTGACAGAATTGATGCGCATTATAGATATTTGAAGCATGTGTACCTGCACATGCATGCTTATTAACCCACGGGTACTGTGGAATATATTTTTTACTCACCTAAAGCGCTCGTGCTCTCGTCCACTCCCCGCAAAAAATTAGCAGCTGTGCGGTGTCTGTGGCATCGGTGCTCTCATCTCATGCCATGGAGTAAAAATCAAAAGCACAGCTTTATCAGACAGTTGCAGTTTAATGTTGGCTGACGAGTCTTCAGTGCGTCGCACAACTGGATTTCTGGACACGCTGACGTTGGTGAAGTCCTGCACATTATTTCGGTGACTTTAACGAGGCCGTGTTTTATGAGGTCTCCATCTGAAAAAGCCTTGACATGTCTTGCGATGAGTTGGGCGACCTCATAGCCGGCTATTGGAGCCTTTTCCTGGATAATTTGAGCACGAAAAAAATACTGTTGCTGACCTTGCAGGAGAGCTACCCTTTGCTTTAATTTCTGCTCTCGCTCAGCACCAGTGTAGGATGCATAGGCCTGATGTTTGGTTTCATAATGACGTGGTACATTATACTCTTTCATAATTGCCGCAGTTTCAGTGCAGATCAAACAGACACACTTCCCCTTGAATTCTTTGAAGAAATATTCTCCCACCGTGTCTGAAATTTTCTGCACTCACTTTCTACCTTTCGCTTCTTTGGTTCTGCCATGTTTAGTAACTTGGGGGTAAATTTCTTCTGTGATTGACCTTTTTGGTGGAGCAACTGCCTTGATTAACAGCAGCTCCCCCTGGTGTTAAAACTAAGAAGTGCAATACACTCAAGCAAAAGTTCGGGCCAAATTCTATTCTATTTATAAAATTACTTGCGGGCCAATTAAAAATGGACCGCGGGCCGCAGTTTGGACACCCCTGTTTTATGTGGTCATATAAACGTTTCTTGCAATTTCTTAAACTGGACTTGACTTTGTTAATAGCAGCCTATCAAAAACAACACAACATGTATTCCCATTCCCATTTTAGCTGAATCTACAAAAAATGCCAAAGATAACAAACACAGGCTGACAGCTATAAATCACTCTGCAATGACCTATGAATCATTCAAGTACAAAAAGGCACCTAATTCACAGGATGAACCAGTGTTGGGTTTACACATAAAAGACAATTTAGCAAAGAACCAGAGATCATTTTATTATATCTTTAGGTGCTTTATTACCAGCGGTACACATATCTTTTGTTTCCAATTTTGTAGGTGAGTTTACAAAAAATAGTAACGATGACAGAGTTTGGCAGATATAAAATAATATTTTACATCAATGAAGTGAGTCAGTGGGGCTATTTGCCTAAAACGTCGCACATGTCAGCATGGTGTGTAGTGTGTTTTTAAAAGAAATGTGAGGAAACTGGACAAATGGTGTATAAAAAAAGAAATTTATCTGAAAGTCATGTCCTTAAGAAGCAGACAAAAAAAAAAACCATCCAGCATAACTGGCTGCGCCTTGGTTGCATTGTTTTGGATAGGTATGGGGGGAAAAGAAGAAAAACTGTTTATTAATACTGCTGCAATATTTGTTAAATATAATTTTTGTTCAATAAAAAAAGACCTTGATAAAAAAAAAAAGCCACCCAACAAAGACCTGACACACAGTGGCGTGTCGAGAAAATTTTTGTTGGGGGGGCCAGGTAGGGGCACAGATTTGGAGAAGGGTGGCAGATGTAATTGGCAGATAATGTTTAAAAAAAAATTCTACCAACCGTTAACCATAATTCAATAACCCTATAAACCTAATAACCAAATGCACTTTTAACTCTTATTAGAATGAGATTTTAACCACTACGGTGCAAAGTTTTTAGATACTGCGTTGATAAAGTACAAGAGATACAATCAGTGCTTTGTCAATGTTTACTCAGCATTCAAGAACATCAATATTTGCATAGTATTTTTACTGACATGTAGTGCACATATGTTTTGGGCAAAAACATTTTTGAATATTAAAATATGAACATTTGTAACAAACAATTGACAAATTAGCCAGTTCAATGCAAAACTTTATCTGCCTGTTAAAAAAAGAAGATAATCTTCTCACAAACTGGTGTTTGATTTTGAAACAGGAAAAAAGTGGGGAAACAACTGAAAAGACTAACATTTGAATAAAACCTGAAAGCAAGTAAATACTTTCTCTGCTGCCTTATGGTAAACTTTGGTTATATTGATAAAGAACAACACTGGCTGATGATGAAATACAGTCAGCTGGCATGGTGACACTGCCAGTATTAACATGCAGGGCTGGACTGGGACAGAAAATCGGGCATTTTGACTACAGACCGGCCCACCAGGTATTAAAGCCATAAAGCCTTTGAATGAAAACAAATGCTGTTGTGACAATGATGTACAGTCTTGTGTCTTATGTATGATTTCTATACATTTTACGTCAGATAAAAACTTTGGTTGTAAGATTTAGATAATTATTTAATAAAAGCGAGACATTTTAAATGAGAATAAGAAAGAAAAGTATTTCTTTGTGCCCCACCTCTCCCTGTTAATGCCCTACCTGGCCCCCTGGAAACACTTTGCTAGATCCACCCCTGCACAGTTACCAGCTGTCAGCTACGTAGAAAAAGGATCCTGGTGTTATTTATTTCTCAGAAACAGTTCATAACTTCAACTCATTCATGTCACCTAAAAGGTAAACCTGTTTCTCCATCACCTGTTCAGCTCTGATGATTCTGTAAGGACATCTCCTGGTTTCATCTTCATGTTTCCCTCTCATCACACATCCAAACCGATATCATGACCAGCAGCTTTACAGCTAGTTAACACCAATAGCTAGTTAACCCATAGCTATTCACACAACAACGGGGTATTGGGTAACTATGATGTTTTTATTTTAGAAAACAAAGTACACATGAATTAATGTACTTTAATAGAAAATGGAAAGGTGATACAACCTCAAAAACGTGGTTGTCTCTAGATTTAAAAAGAGAAATAAGGTCCAGTAGTTACACTATATAAAAAAATTAATGCACAATTTAAAAAACAAAATTTATAGGTAGGTATATCGACTTCTCATTAAATTATATGAATTATTATGGCTTTGTCTGCCACAGTGTTTTTCTTTAAACTACTTAGGAACACTTTTACTGGCAGTCGGTGATGTCACTGAAAGGCAAGGTTCTGTTGCCATAGTCTCCTGAGTTTATTTTGAAAGCTAACTTACGGAACTCGCTTAAACAGCTTAGGAAAGACAAGCGCACACATTTGAAGAAGTATTCCCTCATCACGGTGACATTTTCCAGTTTACAAGGTCTCAAAAATTAACATGAAAAAGGAAACGAGAAAAAATACAAATTCAGGAGAAAAGAAAGATCCAGGAGATCAAAGTAAGTAAACAAATACATCAAATCTGGGTAAAATCCCTCAAATAACAGAATCTACTTTTCTAAAAATGTTGACAGTCTGTGTATAAACTGAAACATTTGAATCCTACCCATATGGAAAAGATATATATAAATCTTATAAAGTTTGTATCTGTCTTGTGTGAAACTTGTATGTTTTGGATACTTACTAAAACAATATATGAAAGTAATGAGAAAGTGGCCACTTTCATGAGTAAATCATATAAGCCTGATATGATTCACTGCATGAAGTAGGCCACATCTTACGCAAGTCTTTTATAAATTTGTACTATTTCTTTCCATATGGGTATGTTTGACTGAAAATAACATAATTACAACACGTCTAATCAAAGAAAGGTTAATGGGGCACTTTGTCTTTTGGTAAAATAATGTGACAAGTTTATTCTTGGACTCAGCAGTAAAAACAGATCAACAAGTGTCATGAAGATCTAAGTCTTAGTAGACCTAGTATGGACTCGTGTTGCTCTGTTTTTATCAAAAGGATAAACTTGTTATTATAATTTAACCAATACTTCCTAAAATGGCATCAAAATCCTTCCAGTCCTGATGTCGAGCACTCTTTTTCACTACTGTGTTGTTGTTGTTGTTGTTGTTTATAGACTCTAAGAGCAGGATGGCTAAAAGAAAGGCCAGTCCTGAAAAGAAGACCCCCGTAAAAAGAAGGAGGGTCACTGAGCAGGCTGCTCCTTCCACCAGCTCAGATACACACCAGGTCAAAGCAGTGAAGCGTAAGGCCCAGCAAGATGGAGCGGGCACAACCAGTGCACCGAAGAAGATTAAACTTGCTGAGCCTACGAGTGAAGACAGGGAGCAAGCGTCTTCCTCCGTGGACACTGGTAAAGGTAGGCTAATTAGTTGAGTGAGGGGTAGATTAAGTGCACAGCTGGTTGCTCGGTTTAAGATATTAGTGTTTGGGAGATATTTTTCTGTTGTACAGTTCATTTGCTGTTATGGAGTTCTTGTTACTGATGAAAAAAAAGTGTATTTTTTGTTTCAAAATAGCTGATCTGCTCTATGCCAACATCTGCGAACAAATATAATTCTATAAAGTTGGTCTATATAGTGTGTAACTGTTGATATAGAGCGTTATTAAATTTATTGCTAATGCAATCATATGGCACGTTGACTTCTAAGGAAATTTTAGATGGCACTTATCATCAGAAAGGTTGCTGACTCCTGGGTTAGACCTTCATATTAATTTTTTTTAAAAACTTTTTTAAGAACGCATTTTAACATTGGACTCAAAAATAAATAAATCCCCCGCTAACAAAAAAGGCTCTTCAAGTGCCAAATTACTTTATATTTCTTCACTAAATATACGGCCGCAAGTAGGGCTGACATGGGCCCCAGGTTTGATGTGTTCTGCCGTAAACTGGACAAACCAACATAAGGATGGAAGCCACTGTGGGACTTTTTCAGTAAGTTGAGCATGTGTTTTATAAGTTAATCAGTAAATTAACACCAATAGCTAGTTAACCCATAGCTATTCACACAAATGAATAGCTATGAGAAAGGTGATACAACCTCAAAAACGTGGTTGTCTCTAGATTTAAAAAGAGAAATAAGGTCCAGTAGTTACACTATATAAAAAAATTAATGCACAATTTAAAAAACAAAATTTATAGGTAGGTATATCGACTTCTCATTAAATTATATGAATTATTATGGCTTTGTCTGCCACAGTGTTTTTCTTTAAACTACTTAGGAGCACTTTTACTGGCAGTCGGTGATGTCACTGAAAGGCAAGGTTCTGTTGCCATAGTCTCCTGAGTTTATTTTGAAAGCTAACTTACGGAACTCGCTTAAACAGCTTAGGAAAGACAAGCGCACACATTTGAAGAAGTATTCCCTCATCACGGTGACATTTTCACTTTTAAACGGTCTCAAAAATTAACATGAAAAAGGAAACGAGAAAAAATACAAATTCAGGAGAAAAGAAAGATCCAGGAGATCAAAGTAAGTAAACAAATACATCAAATCTGGGTAAAATCCCTCAAATAACAGAATCTACTTTTCTAAAAATGTTGACAGTCTGTGTATAAAATGAAACATTTGAATCCTACCCATATGGAAAAGATATATATAAATCTTATAAAGTTTGTATCTGTCTTGTGTGAAACTTGTATGTTTTGGATACTTACTAAAACAATATATGAAAGTAATGAGAAAGTGGCCACTTTCATGAGTAAATCATATAAGCCTGATATGATTCACTGCATGAAGTAGGCCACATCTTACGCAAGTCTTTTATAAATTTGTACTATTTCTTTTCCATATGGGTATGTTTGACTGAAAATAGCATAATTACAACACGTCTAATCAAAGAAAGGTTAATGGGGCACTTTGTCTTTTGGTAAAATAATGTGACAAGTTTATTCTTGGACTCAGCAGTAAAAACAGATCAACAAGTGTCATGAAGATCTAAGTCTTAGTAGACCTAGTATGGACTCGTGTTGCTCTGTTTTTATCAAAAGGATAAACTTGTTATTATAATTTAACCAATACTTCCTAAAATGGCATCAAAATCCTTCCAGTCCTGATGTCGAGCACTCTTTTTCACTACTGTGTTGTTGTTGTTGTTTATAGACTCTAAGAGCAGGATGACTAAAAGAAAGGCCAGTCCTGAAAAGAAGACCCCCGTAAAAAGAGGGAGGGTCACTGAGCAGGCTGCTCCTTCCACCAGCTCAGATACACACCAGGTCAAAGCAGTGAAGCGTAAGGCCCAGCAAGATGGAGCGGGCACAACCAGTGCACCGAAGAAGATTAAACTTGCTGAGCCTACGAGTGAAGACAGGGAGCAAGCGTCTTCCTCCGTGGACACTGGTAAAGGTAGGCTAATTAGTTGAGTGAGGGGTAGATTAAGTGCACAGCTGGTTGCTCGGTTTAAGATATTAGTGTTTGGGAGATACTTTTCTGTTGTACAGTTCATTTGCTGTTATGGAGTTCTTGTTACTGATGAAAAAAAAGTGTATTTTTTTTTTCAAAATAGCTGATCTGTTCTATGCCAACATCTGCGAAAAAATATAATTCTATAAAGGTGGTCTATATAGTGTGTATACCCATATGACTGAAGAAGAATTAGTTGAAATCTTTATTTCTTTATTTAAATCTTTATTTCAAATCTTTATTATTAGTTTATTCTTGGACTCAGCAGTAAAAACAGATCAACAAGTGTCATGAAGATCTAAGTCTTAGTAGACCTAGTATGGACTCGTGTTGCTCTGTTTTTTATCAAAAGGATAAACTTGTTATTATAATTTAACCAATACTTCCTAAAATGGCATCAAAATCCTTCCAGTCCTGATGTCGAGCACTCTTTTTCACTACTGTGTTGTTGTTGTTGTTTATAGACTCTAAGAGCAGGATGGCTAAAAGAAAGGCCAGTCCTGAAAAGAAGACCCCCGTAAAAAGAAGGAGGGTCACTGAGCAGGCTGCTCCTTCCACCAGCTCAGATACACACCAGGTCAAAGCAGTGAAGCGTAAGGCCCAGCAAGATGGAGCGGGCACAACCAGTGCACCGAAGAAGATTAAACTTGCTGAGCCTACGAGTGAAGACAGGGAGCAAGCGTCTTCCTCCGTGGACACTGGTAAAGGTAGGCTAATTAGTTGAGTGAGGGGTAGATTAAGTGCACAGCTGGTTGCTCGGTTTAAGATATTAGTGTTTGGGAGATATTTGTGTGTATGATCTAATACGCTGATGTGCTTTTGCTGTTTTCCACATCTGCAGACTGCAGTCAAAACACAAAGGGGTGCACAAAAAATGGCAGAAACAAGTCTGCGGGAGACAGCAAAGAGTCACCCAAGAAAAAGAAAAAGGACAAAACCAAAAACGTCGTCCAAAATCCAGCAGCCGACCAGCAACGTAAGTAGCAAGCAGCTTGGCTTTTATACTCAGGTGAAGAGCAAAATGAACATTTAGGGTACAGCAGAGAGTAATTTGTGTCACAGCTGTAGTAAAACAACATTTGGGTCTTTTCAGGGGAATACCAAGCCAGATATGTGCAGGAGCACCATCTAGGAAATGGCGGCTGTGGAGCAGTGTTTGCTGGCTACAGGATAACAGATCATTTCCCAGTAAGTGTTCAGATGGTGGGAGTAAGACAGGCAGTAATGCAGATAACGGATAATATCGTCAGCTGAGCATTAAAGGTGCAGTTTTACACCTTTAATGATGTCATACTGAGGAAATGCTCACCAATGCTCTGTGTCTTTTAGGTAGCCATCAAACACGTTCCCAAGAACAGAATCCCCATCAAAGTGACGGTAAGTGTGCAACACTTGAACTGTTTTTACATTCCTGGACTGAGTGCAGCGTTCACCTGTGAAACATCTGTTCCTCATCATCCACTTTGTTGTAATATATCAGGATGAAAACGGGAAGGAAGTCTCAGTGGAAGTGGCCATTTTGCTGAAGCTTGCAGCTGAAGCAGATGGATCAGTGGGAACGTCGGCTCCTGTGTCTCTGTTGGACTGGTTTGACTTTGGCACAGAGCTGATCCTGGTGCAGGAGAGACCTGTCCCCGCGGTGGACCTGTTTGAATACATAAGAGAAAATGGAGGATGTTTACCAGAAGGAAAGGCCAAGGTAAGTTGACTGGAAGAGCCTTAGACTGTACAGCACTGAAAGCACAGAGTATCAAAGAAGCATCAACCTGTTGACTCATTACTGTCTTTTTCATCTTTTCCAGGTAATTCTGAAGCAACTGGTTGATGCAGCAAAGGACCTGGAAGAGAAAGACATCTTTCACCGGGACATCAAGAGTGAGAACATTCTGATTGAGACCGGCTCAGATGTGCCTCGAGTTCGTATCATTGACTTTGGCCTGAGCTGCTTTGCTACGGAGCAATCGCAGTTCTGCTTCTTCTATGGTAACATATTCAGCTCCTGCTCTTCACAGATGTAGCAATTTGTGCCTTTTGTTTTAGAAGAAATTGTAATTGTGTCTGTTTATTAGGTACACCTATCCACAGCCCTCCCGAATGTTACTGGGGCAAAAAATACAGGCCTGGACCCACCACGGTGTGGCAAATGGGAGTGGTGCTGTACGAAGCGCTTCATGTGGGGGACTTTAATATCATGACGTTCATTGAAAACGAACTGAAATTCAACGAGCATCTGTCCCCACGTAAGAAAACATCACACTTCAAGATTCACTGATGGCTTGGATCACTGGAACTATCATCTTCATCTTTTCTCTCCTTTCTTTCTTTCCAGACTGCCGGAATTTCCTGGATGCGTGTTTAACCGATGTCCCGGAGAAGCGCCCAACGCTGGGGGACCTCCAGCGTCACCCCTGGCTCAGATAAACCCATCTCTCACACACACACATTTCATATATTATCATATAAGTGTGATACGTGACCTAACTTTCTTTTTTTGTCTTTCTTTCATTTTTTTGGTTTTTTTTAACAGGAAAAGGTTGTTTTTTGGGTTTTTTTGGCCAATTCTAAATTTTGCTATCCTGAAATTCCTGTAACCCCCCCAGCCATCCCAGGAAAGGGGATCTCTCTTTGAATTGGCTTTCCCGAGGTTTCTTCCCATCATTCTGGCCCCCCGGGGAGTTTTTCCTCGTCTTCATAGAGAGCTTGGGCTGGGTCAGGAGCTTCATCAAAATTGGCCTTATTTGATTAGGTTAATGTAATAAAATTACGTTGATGTAATCAAAATTAGTAAAAATCAAAAGATTTAACTTAAACTTCCATTAAAACTTGTTTAACTCAACTTTGCTGAGAATACTCTTTCATTACCATGTCAAGGATTGTTTTTTACTCATGATGCATTTTGACAAGTAAGAAAACTGAAAACTCAATCAGGTTAAAGCATGCACAACGAAAGTCACACTGTCACTGCTCTGAAGACTTGCATCTGTTGCCCTAACCTCTAATGCGTCTCAACAGATTTCCTGGATCTAACAGAGGTTGCAACAGTTTTTCCTTCCCACTGTTGCTGATTGTTTGCTCATAGTGGGCTCTCTGATTGGTGGGATTCATTTTCTAATAGTATAGGGTCTCTGCCTTCCAATGTAAAGTGCCTCTAGACAACAGATGTGACTTGTTGCTATAGTTAAGGTTGAATTGAATCATTAATGTCCATTCAGTAGTGAAAATTTTATATTTCTTAATAGGGGTGGGTTTTGATGATCGATTTATCGATTAAAATCGATTCTGGCTTGGATAACGTGATATCGATTCATTAAAACCTGAATCGATTTTTAAATAGAAATTTATTTTGCCCGAAACGCCAGAATCTCAGGTTAAACCTCACAAAATTTCTACAACCACCAAACCGCTAAAACAGTAAATGAGAGCAGATACACGGATTCTGCACAAAGACGTGAACACAAAACGCGGACCCGACGGATCAGAATCACTGAGATGTGGCTTTCTCACCCGCCGGCACGTACGCTTAGCTGTGTCTCTAATCAAACCTCTGTAACTTTGCTCTGCTTCACTTCGTTTTTGACTGCACAATATTTTTAATGTCATCTGCTATAAAAACCCAGACCAAGTCTCGCAAGCGTCAGCTTTCTTTTTATAGATAGAAAAATATAGATATGTACTGATAAGTACCATCTGTAGCTTAGAACATTAAACACTTATTGTACTTACTGTAAGGAACAACAAGATAAGTAAAACAACACAATACATTCTCACAGTTCCCGACTGTATTGGTGTTTTGTTTAGTTTTTTTCAAATGTTTCTGAGCTTAATCGGCGGGAAAAATACATTGTCTAAACTTAACAGGTAGCTAACGAAAGCGAGTGACTCACCGGGACAAATAACTCCAACACAAGTAACTCGACACACGTTATTCCCTTTGTGGTCAGAGTTCGGGGCCTAATAAAAGAGTAGCTTATTAGCATTGATATGTAAAAAAAACCAAAAACAATTTGGTCTCATTATCTAGTTTGCAGCACTGCATACTTTGTTGAAAAAACACTTGACCGCCATTATTCATGTTCTTTGATTTCTCCAGTGCCTTCAACACCATTCTTCCCTCGGTTCTAAAGGACAAGCTGGTGAACTCTGGAGTGGACCATCACCTCACTACCTGGATCCTGGACTACCTCACCGACCGACCACAGTATGTGAGGACTCAGGGCTGTGTGTCGGACAGGGTCGTCTGCAGTACGGGGGCCCCACAGGGAACGGTTCTGGCTCCGTTCCTCTTCACCATCTACACTGCAGACTTCTCCCACAATTCCACCCAGTGCTTCCTGCAGAAGTTCTCTGATGACTCTGCAATAGTCGGCCTCATCACTGATGGGGACGACAAGGAGTACAGAGGTCTGACCCAAGACTTTGTGGACTGGTGCCAGCTGAACTACCTCCAGATCAACGCCAGTAAAACCAAGGAACTGGTGGTAGACTTCCGCAGGCACAAGCATTCTCCACTGCAACCACTGAACATCCAAGGTATGGACATTGAGGCTGTGGACAGCTACAGGTACCTTGGTGTTCATCTGAACAATAGACTGGACTGGACTCATAACTCAGACGCCCTCTACAGGAAAGGGCAGAGCAGGCTGTACCTGCTGCGGAGACTCAGGTCGTTTGGAGTGGAGGGCCCACTCCTGAAGAAATTCTATGACTCTGTTGTGGCTTCTGCTATCTTTTATGGCGTGGTCTGCTGGGGCGGCAGCATCTCTGCTGGGGACAGGAAGAGACTGAACAGGGTGATCCGAAGGGCCAGCTCTGTTCTAGGATGCCCTCTGGACCCAGTGGAGGTGGTGAGTGACAGGAGAACGGCGGCTAAGCTGTCATCCCTGATGGACAACATCTCCCACCCCATGCAGCAGACTGTGACAGCACTGAGCAGCTCCTTCAGTGGGAGACTGCGGCACCCACGGTGTGGGACGGAGAGATTTCGCAGGTCTTTCCTCCCCACTGCTGTCAGACTCCATAATAAAGACTTTAACTGATCAAACACACACATCCATACATATGCAATAATACTAAGTGCAATAATCCTTTCTGTCATCGTTGTATTTTTACTCAGTTGTATATAGTATTTGTATTTGTATTCTATTTTTATCTTATTGTATATTTATTTTTATTTTATTCTACTGTATATAGTATTTTATTTTATTCTATTCTGTACAGTTGTGTACTGTATTTATTCTTATTGTATTCTAATTTTTGCCTCATAACTTTTGCACTGTCCACTTCCTCCTGTGACAAAACAAATTTCCCACGTGTGGGACTAATAAAGGTTATCTTATCTTATCTTATCTTATCTTATCTTATCTTATTGCGAAGCTCTCATAGGAAGAGACAGCCAATGCTTCCTGCGCACAAGACGCAAGGTCGTAACGCAGCAAGACTGCATCAAAGCGCCCCCTTGTGACAATAATAGGCAATCGTTTTAGATGACAAGAGGGGAATTTGCAGCCCTGTATTTCGCATGGGTTAGACCAGGAGTCGGCAATCCTGGGCACTCCTGCCACACAGCTGGCACGCGAAGGGTTAACTGATGGCACGCCACCCAGTGAATTAATCTGAGAAGATGTATTAAAAAATTAATGGCCGTGCCAGCGGAGCACATCCAGTGGCGTGTCGAGAAAATTTTTGTTGGGGGGCCAGGTAGGGGCAC